TTATTGGGCATATAGGGCTAGACCTATATTTATACCAATATTTTATAGACCACTCGGCACTTGGTGGGTGATGTGGTCAGCATCACTTCGACCGTCTTTACTTTCTAGGACTGTACCTGGTACCCACTCAAGGCTGGGTCGACCTAAGAGTCAAGGTCATTTTTGAAAACAGCATAACGCCAGCCGCCTTTACTTCCAGTGACTCTGCCTAGTACCTGTTTAAGGCTGAGTTGATCTAGAAGCCAAGGTCATTTTTGACAAAAATCGGGTTCAGTTGGGAACTGAACTTATCATCTTCTTATCCGCAGGCAAGCATCTAACTGTTGCCCCACCACGCATCCCGGTTGCTAAACAAAAAAAAGAACTGATAAAATCGGCGTTTTGTGTTGACTGATACGGATATCGCAGCCCAGCTGTAAACCACAAAATGACATGTCATTTCCCACAAAGGGCAAACGGGAAAGGGGAAACAAAAACCATATAATTGCACATAAATACACGTGATTAGCAAATGTTTCAGAATCCCAGCTGTTATCTGACCGGATATCCGTGCTTCTAGAGGCCACGCCCACCTTTTGAATAATGTGGGTAGACTAGCTACCAATCGCAGTATTGGTTGCAACTACAACGATAAAACAATTGCTCAGAATGCTGCATAATCCCACATAATCCTACACAACCTATGCATCAGTGGGAAGATGTGCGTCAAAGATTAACAGCAGAATACGACAAGCTAAAACTGCATTTCAGACGATGAAAAGAATCGTATGAAATAAGTAACTTTCACTCAGGGTCCCAGAGTGCTGAAATGTTGGCTGAAGTCTGTTACTCGTAGTCAAGGGGATGCGCTTCGTTGCATCCGGTGACATATTGCTTGGTCTCTTTGCTCCATACTTTTGTGTATGTCACTTGATATTCATGTATGTATATTATTATGTGAACATAACACACTTTACAGACTGATTGAAAACAGAGAGCTTCCGTGTATAATAAAGTCGCTGCAGCCAGTATGAGAATGGAGGTGGAGGTAGTAACAGCTCCTTCCCGGTATCTTGAGAGCAGCTCAGCCGACATGTTGTAATCGTAGCAGATTTTCAGAACTGATTGGTTCTGAACATATAGTTATTGCTCTAAAATTCTATGCCTAAAACGTCCGAAGGCGTAGAAATTGGCTCTTTTTCTAACTTTACCTCTGAAGTCGAAATGCATCTGCCTGAGAGGCAAGGAACCAATAGTTTTAAAAAAAAAGTAAAGGGCCCTTTTCCACGCCTTTAGGCGTATAGGGCAAATAGGGCTAGACCTATATTTTATAAACCAACGGCACAATATGGGTGATGTGTTCAGCATCACGCCGGCAGCCTTTACTTCCTGGGACTGCACCCGGTACACACTCAAGGCTGGGTCGACCTGGGAGCCAAGGTCATTTTTGAAGAAAAGTCCGGCTCCGCCAGGGAGCGAACCCACGACCTTACGATCCGCGGCGCGCGTCTAGCCGCTCTATCACGGCGACTACCCAAGGAACCAATAGTCTGCATTAAATAAAGCTACATGTGTAAAACAGATATGCATGGAAAACATAAGATCTATACTACATGACGAAAGTTCAGAAGTGGGCGAACAACAAGAACTGTCGGCCGGGGATGATAATCTGTAAACGCTAAGAAGAAGAGGTTGCTGCTGTGTGGTGGTAGGTCATGAAATACGGACGAACTAACAACGAAGAACTTCACCATCGAAAGATTTTGTTTCAGAGAATAGTGGTGTCAAACATTGCATTTTTTCCCCGTGGACAAAAAATGGTGACGGTATTGGCAACAAGGTTTCTAATGAAAGGTGCTGGCACTCACCATAAAATGTATTATTACAGTAGTGCGGGGGAAAATGTCTCAAAAAATTTAAATTTCCTGCGAGCAGTTGCGTACGGTCACATACAAAAGTCAAAGCAAAGAACCCTTTTCCACACCGTTAGGCGTATTGAGATAATATAGGGCTCGGCCTATATTTTTAGAATAATCGGCACTTGGTGTGTGATGTGCTCATCATCACGCCGGCCGCATTTCCTTCCTAGGACTGCACCTGGTACCCACTCTAGGCTGGGTCGACCTGGGAGAAAGGTCATCTTTGAAAACATGTCCGGTTCCGACAGGATGAGAACCCACGATCTTCCCATCCGCAGGCGGGCGTCTAGCCGCTAACGCCACGGTGACTCCAGCCGCTAACGCCACGGTGACTCCAGCCGCCAACGCCATGGTGACTCCAGCCGCTAACGCCAAGGAGACTCCAGCCGCTAACGCCACGGTGACTCCAGCCGCTAACGCCACGGTAACTCCCATAAACAAAGTGTGGTCTAAACAACAAAGTCATAGATAAACATTGGTTCTGTATAGCTCTCGTTCATGTAGGTTGTTAGAGACTTGTTGGCGACAACATCTAGTAATTTCAAATATATAAACAGCGATGAGCATTGCACTGCTATGGGAGATGATCTGTTTTTTTTTTACTAGTTGAAAAGCTAAACAGCCAGTATAGTTTATGGACTGTCTATTTAAATTCAGCCATTTGCTAGTACACAGTCTGTCATTCAAAACTGCATGCTGTGAAAATGTGCTGCTTGTAAAAGTTTCAGCTCTGGCTATCCTTCCATTTAGTGTCGAAGTATGAGAATACCAACACAAAACTAAATAGTAACACGTGTATTATATTTTAATGAGAAGGACGAATTTGATTAGCTATACCACAAATGTCTTTGTTTATTTGAAACAATCACTGCTATGTTTATCTGTTACCCTAAACTGTCTGAGAAAGATATGAGGTATCAAAATTCTCAGTTTTCACGCTTTCTTTCTCTTTCGTTCTATCTCTCTCTTTCTCTCTCTCTCTCAATCCGTTCTCTCTCTCTCTCTCTCTCTCTCTCTCTCTCTCTCTCTCTCTCTCTCTCTCTCTCTCTCTCTCTCTCTCTCTCTCTCTCTCTCTCTCTCTCTCTCTCTCTCTCTCTCTCTCTCTCGCTACCGCTGTAGCACCTCACAATTCAGCGCCTCACATTTGCATTAAGCTGATATCACCATCTGCAACTACCAGCCCCCCCCCCCCCCCCCCATCAACAATTTGATCAAGGGCACTACCATTTCCTGGGTCGTCTCAGGACTTGGGAAACACGGCTCTAGATGATGCTTCCCTTGTCCAACGTACAATAGCTTCGGACAGAAGAAATTTTACTGCAACGTTCATAGTGACTATCGAAGTTCGATCTGAGTGCCATCAAATGGGCATGAAGAAGAGTGGGAAAAGAAGAAAGAGGGGCAGGAAAAAGTGGCATGAGGAGAAACCAGAAGGCGGACAGTAAAGATTGGGTAGTAACAAAATATGAAGCGGGTGAAGAACAACAAAGAAAAATATTGAAACCTTCGACACCAGGCTGTGATCAATTGAAATCCGTTTTTCGAGATAAGATCTAGGTTAAGTTAGCAATGTTTGCGTCCAAAAGGGTTGAAATAATAAAACTACGAGACTAAAAGAAGTAAAACTAACAATATAAAATAAGCCTTCATTGATAACGTTATAAAATACAGATAATTGCACTCTCGTTCTGTGATTTCTGATTGGTTAAGAGCTATTTCGACCATATATGGAATTGACTGTTTTACCACACATGGAAGTAACTCTAAAATTAAATGGAATATACAATACAGTACAGATTTCACTGTATGTCCTGTTTGGAATATATATAAGAGTCCGAAATTTGTGCTTTCTTTTTTTTTTTTTTTTTTTTTTTTGCACCCTTGTACTTTTTTGGGGTAGTATTTTCTAACGCAGCATATCAAAGGAGTTAAAGAAACACATTTACAATCAACAATCATTCATCGTGATACACTCACATTACTAAACATGAACTGACAATTGTAAGGAATAATTCATTAGTGTTTTAAAAATAGTGTTATTTCAAAACGATAAATTAATTAAAGCATCATAGTTCTGTGACGAGAATTTTATTAACAAAACGTCCTCACTAAAAAGTATTGTACAGTAAAACTAAAAGCAAACAAATGGCCGGTTTGTGAATGCTCACCAGGCGCATGTGCAGTTTTCGTTAATCTCAAACATCGAATTTGCATTGACGTGGATTTCTCCCCCCTTCCCCCCCACCCCCCAATTGTTATTGCTTCCCATGTCGACTTTGGCTAAAATATGTACCGTGGAGGTAAAGACGGCTGACTTAATGTTGACTTCATAACCCACCGATTGCAGATTGGTTTGTCAAAATTTGAGGAGTATTATACATTCTATGCGCCAGTGGCGTGAAAGGGGTGGTGCTACTTCTTTCTGCGCCACGCCCCGTTTTTTATCGTCTGTTTGTACGCCTTTCATTGATTTATAAGAACTCAAATTACTCTCTCTCTCTCTCTCTCTCTCTCTCTCTCTCTCTCTCTCTCTCTCTCTCTCTCTCTCTCTCCAATTCTCACAATATGCCATCTTTGGCAACATTATAAATTAACATTCATGGTTCTCTCGGTTTATTATTTCACATTTAACGAGCACTACTCCTGATTGGTCAAGAGCTTATGTGGCCATATATGGAAATGACTGTTTGACCATATATGGAAGCAACTGTAAAATTACATAGATTAGACTACACAGCACAGATACACTCGCTAATGTAGATCCTCTTTGGAATGTGTCATCAGTCAGTGTTTATAAAATAAATCCACAGCATTAAGAATCTCCTTATAAACACAACAGAACGCCTTTAAAAAGTAAGCAGGCATACACAATAAAATATTATTAGGTTTTTTCTCTAGTGTACTTAAAACAGACTCCATTGATTGGGGTGGAGTTTCGAATCCTGAAGAAGCTGGTTTTCACAGCAGTCACAGAAAGCGAAGTAAACGTGAATTAACGAGTTTGACTGGTTGTTGCATACATATATGGGCATTTCAGCACTATCACAGAAAATTGGGCGGAGTATGGTGATGATAAGAGGTAGCCTGCGATGTGATTGGTTGTCATAAAGGTGGGGAAGCCAATGGGCTCCAAGTTCCGCGTGAAGCGTCGACTGGGCGTGGTGTGTGCGATACATTGAGTGCAAAAGCGTTGAGGTCACAAACTGAATGCTCAAAACCGGAAGTGTGCTGCGTGCCTTGTGGACTGCTGCTAGAGCTGCCACTACCTCCCGCAGAACCCTGTGGGTCGAAGCATGGAAGTTTATTATTTGATAGCAAACTTAAAAATAAAGTGTGTTTTTAATATAAAATACGCTTTACTATATATCTGTGAGTAATTGATAGATAATAACACGAATATTAAATAATAATAATAATAATAATAATAATAATGATAACATAACAAGAAAGTGGGTAATTCTATATATCAGTTAATCGGGTGTCATCTAGAATGGATATCGAACTGTCTAACGATCTGTTTGTAAAATCTTCATCCGTTCATCTCGTTACGTTAACTTTCCACTTGTACCATCTGAGCCTTGAAAATGCATTGGTGATAAAAGCACATACAGTTGAAGATTTGACTAGAGAAATCAAGACTTAAAAGTGGGGGGGGGGGGGGGGGGGGTGGTTTCCGAAAAGGGAGCGACGTTCTGTAGAAATTTTGCTGATTGATGATGGCGATTGCTGTGTGTGTGTGTATGTTTGTTTGTTTGTTTGTTTTTACTGCTGTTTGTCATCATCCTCTTCCCCTTTTAGCTTATAATGATGTCTAGTTACCAGTATCTTTCCAGTCTAACTTCCCTAACAAGCATGTCTTAAGACTTGACCAAATAGGGGTTTTCTTCGAAGTCGGAATGCATCATCTGCCTGAAAGGCAAAGAACCAACAGTTGCGCACAACAAAACTAGATATGTAAATTGGTTGTACATACTGGAACAAGACTAATAAGTCCACAAGAGGACCAACAAACAACGTTCCGCCGGTGAACTCGAAGAAGAAGATAAAAGTGCAACAAGCAATTATATGTAAACTTTAAAAAAATAAAAAAAAGACAGATCTAAACATAGCAATAGAATACAAAGGCATTAAACAGGCATCTGAGTTTAAATATCTGGGAACTACATTTACCGAAGATGGGAAATTGGATAAAGAAATTGACATTAGATGCAGTAAAGCAAACCAAGTATTAGGACAGCTAGCCCCCCCCCCCCCCCTCCCTCTCTCTTACAGCATAAGACAATCCCAATCAGCACAAAGGGACATCTTATTCAAAGCATATTTATTCCAACTCTGTGCTACCAGTGCCAGACATGGTCACTCACAACAAACCATAAAAGAAAATTAGTAACCACGGAAATGAGATGTCTGAGAAGGCTGTAGGAGTGACCATAAGAGATAAGATCAGGAATGAGATCATAAGAGAACAAGTCGGCACAGAACCAATTCTGGATTACATACAAAGACAGCAAGTGAAATGGTTTGCCCACTTAGAGAGAATGCCTTGTGACACCATACCATACAAAGCATACATGGAAAGAGAAGAAGGGCGTAGAGCACGGGGTAGACCAAGAACAAGATGGAAGGATAACATCAGAGAAACTCTACAACCGCACGATGTGCCTATGGTCGAGGCAGCCAGAAGAGCTAGAAACAGAACCTTATATCTCCCTCGACACCCACAGCGGTAAAAGAGGAAGTGAAGGAGAAGATATGTAAACTTAGTTTCATTACAAACTTACCACTGCAATATTGCTCAGTGACGGGCTTGGGGTGGCGCAGTTTGTCAGTGAGTAAGGGGCGGTGCTGCGGAGATAGGCGGGCATTGCACAGTTCTGACTGGGCGAAAGGTTGCTGACGTTGCTCATCCACATACCGTATTGACTCTGAGGGGCGTGGCCACTGGTGAGCATTCCGTGCCCGCCCATTGACATGTTCGCCCAGTTCTCTGAGGCCAGATTTAGCATAGGTAAACTAGTATTGACATCTCGTTGAAAATGGCCTGACGAATAAGAAAAAAACATAATCCATCACCCTTTGTTAACAAATAATTTCTGACCATATTTGTGTGTGTGTGTGTGTGTGTGTGTGTGTGTGTGTGTGTGTGTATATATATATATATACATATGAACACAGGTTACATCTAAAAAAGTTTCGTCAAAGTAAGAGGATGCCTAAGTAGAACATGAACTGATGACATCAAAGACAGTCTACATCGACTCGGTATGACAGTTTACGAACTACACATCGAGCAGTAGATTCTAGACTGTACCTCTTCCCACGGCGCTCAGTTGCAAGTGTGTATTGACGGCTACGACGATTATGATAGTGACGATGGTAATAACCACGACGGTGATAATGAGGATGATGATGATAATACTGACAATGATGACGGTGTCCTCTCTATAACTACAACATGAAGGTACAACACAGGACGACTCAAAGAGCCATTTTTTGAATGTTAATCCAAAAGGGCAATTCAGTTGTATAAAATATAAATAGAGGCACTCCAGTGCAACGAAAAATAACCCGTTGTGCCGTGTGTTTGAAAAGCTTGAAAACAAAAAAAATCACCATCGGCACACTCCCCATTCAGGATACAATCTTGAAGACATAGTGAACCTTCTACAAATTAAACAGAACATTATATGTAGATGACATACAGCCCACAACAGACTCTGTAGCCATATGTACAAAAAATTCAAGATGTGGGATATATAACTGTGTCCGCGTGGATAAGCACCACAGAATACTGAACATGTGCTGCACACGTGCTCTCTATCCGCTGTAGAGAGATCTAAGTTTGGCCGGTTGGCACTCCACTGTATGCGACAGTAGAGGACATCCGTCGCACCACAGACTTCATAGAGGCTTGTGGCTTTTTCACCTGAAACCACCCGGCAGTTAGAACTAACAAATTGTTCTTCAACATATTCAACATAAAATTGTTCCTGCACAATTCTGTCATGGCATACGAAACAATTGTAATTTTCTCTCCGAATATATGAAGCTACTGCACATTCATCTCACAGCATATGGTATTGTTACATATTTCCCGCCCACCAAATAAAGTCACTGCGTATTTCCCGCCCATAATATAAAACTCCGCACACTTTCCACGCAACACATAAACCACTGGATATTTTCCGTATGACACTGGATCGCTGCAGAATGTCTTTCCAAGGTCTAAATAAGGTCTGTAAATAGACGCAGCATATCTAAACGAGAGCTGGGATTTTGTTGTGTGGCCGTTTCTGTGTGTTCCTTTTTCATTGCCAGCGATAAGTTGATAACCGTGGGTCGCCAGTCGGTGTAAATCCCGGGCTTTGTATCAGACAGGCGCGAACATGCTTCACTGCATCTCCACATGCCCTTCTGCCGAGACTCTCTGCTGACGCCATGAACGGGCACCATTTATGATTCAACCAAGCATAACCACGATACGTCTTCGTGGGTGGCATCGCCGACCGAGTGCGTTAGTCAATCACTCGTTGATGTTGGTCTCGTTACGGCGGAGATGTGGCCTCGGCGAGGATCTCGGTAGTGGCAAGGATGATTTATGTATGAGTTGCTGGGAGGCAGACTGAAGAAGTAGCTGACGCGGGTAAGAGCAAGGCAAAGAATGAAGGCATTGTGGGTAGATATAACCGCTGTTCAATTCGAACAGATGGTAGAAAGAGGCAGCATTGTGGGTGAAGGAGCAAAGATTCCTCAATGTCAAAAATCAAATGAAGATTTGGGAAAGAATTTTAATCCCTAGTGTTTAAAACAGTTTCACAGCGAACATTCGGACAACGTCTAATGCCAATAACCCACTCACACCGGACCAAAGGTCACGTCGTAACCTTTTTGTGGTACCCAAATATAACTGTGTCGACGTCTATGGCGAACGCGCTATGTAATGCCGCGGTGCCGGGTTCGATCCCTGCTGCGGACGATTTGTGTTGGGCTGGTTTCGACAGTGGTACCGAGATCTCACCGTTTAGGAAGCAATGGCAAACTACTATACGTAAATTTTGTCTAGAAAAACCACAACCGCTAACAAATGCTGGGGTTGGTTCTGCAACGTCCGTGGTGAGAGTCTCGGCAGAATGGCACGTGAAGATGCAGTGAAGCATGTGCAACGTCCTGCAAAGAATACGCAACTAATTATAACTGCTGTATGGTTATACGGTTGATCGGGGTTTCCCGGATTTGTACACCTTCGTTTGTCACCCGTGAGATTTCAATCCTACAGATTTCGAATTTAGAGGGTAATTTTCTTTTCTCAAACCCTAATAACAGAGCTCTCTCTGTCGCTCTCTCTCTCTCTCTCTCTCTCTCTCTCTCTCTCTCTCTCTCTCTCTCTCTCTTCTCTCTCACTCTCTCTCTCTCTCTCTCTCTCTCTCTTTCTCTCTCTCTCTCACACACACAAACACACACACACACACGTACACAGTTAATTTGTAATGTCAGAAATCGAATATATCATTGTGCAAGAAACAACTCCTGCATACCATTACGAAGCAACAGAAACAAGTCATGATCATCATCATCATGTTGTGCCATTACATGTTATACAGGGCTCACAGTCTTGTACTCTAGTCCGTTCTAGCCTTCAATTCAATATCAGGCGTAGAATCCAGTCCAGCACCTTTGGCCTCTCTCGTTTGTTTCATGGTTTCTTCTCAGCGTCTTCGCTTTCTGTGTGCCTTTATTTCCTATTTTAGTGCATGTTTGATGATTCTCTGCTTCTTCTCATCATCATCCTCATCCTCCTCATCATTATTGTTTTCAACACCCACACAAAGCTTAGACCCCCATACCGCTCCTTCCCACCTAGATTTCCTTGTGTGGTCGCACTTGTCGTAGCCTCCACATCTCCCACTACTCCGCTGACTACCCCTAATGGATTTCCAAAGATCAGAGTTGGCTCTGTATCACTCTCCAGAGCACGTTAACCTCAGCTGGCCAAGGCACATGGCACAGAATAGACTTCATTCATCCCAATGATGTTAAGTTAAGCCGGGTCGACATGAGAGCCCAGTTCTTTTTTTTTTTTAAATCAGACTTTACACGAAATCGAACCTATTGCTATCAGGCCGGCAGGCGGGCATCGAACCACAACGTTAACGCCGCTTCCACTACAGCTTCGGCATACAGAATAAACACTAGACTAGGGCTATTCAACTAGAGGCCGGCGGGCAGAATTTGGCCCGCAGAGGCCAATCATACGGTCCCCGCACTGTTGTAGACTGTTTTGTATTAGTTCTTTCTATGCTCTGTCTTTGCAAGCTGTATTGCATTAATAATTTTTCTATGTTCTGACTTTGCCAACTGTATTGTATTTGTCATCTTTCTATGTTGGGGTTTGACAATCCCTAGTTTCAATATTTTGGCCTTAGTTTCAATATTTTGGTTCCAGTTTCAATATTTTGGCCCCAGTTTCAATATTTTGGCCCCAGTTTCAATATTTTGGCCCCAGTTTCAATATATTGGCCCCAGTTTCAATATTTTGGCCCCAGTTTCAATATTTTGGCCCCAGTTTCAATATTTTGGCCCCTAAGGAAACTGAATAGCTCCACACTAGACAAACGGACTAACAGTGGCACAGACTTACCAGGATGAGGTGGCGATCGGCGCTGGTAAGGGTGGTATCCCTGCCTGGAGTTCCTGAAAGTCAGTCTGTCGCAGTGAGGGTTCCCCAGGCCCAGGTGTGGGGCGAACTGATGGGCTGGGGGCGGGACTAGAGTGTGAGCGGGGCCCGGGGCTAAGTACCAGGGGGCGGCAACTGTGGAAACAAGATGTGAACGATTCATTAATAGGAAGTGGAAATTATTATCTCTGGGTGGATAATATGTGAATAGGTGAGTGAGTTGGTAGATGGGTGGCTGGATGGATGAGGAGTGGATAGATGGCTGGATAGACGGAGAGTGGTTGGACATACGGGTGAGTGGCTAGAGGGATGGATGACCAGATGGATAGAGGATGGATAGATAAATTGATGATTGGGTTGTTGGATGGGTGAGATGATCAATTGGATAGGTGGATGAATGCTTGGTGGGTAGATAGATGGTTAGGTGGATACAAGGATGAACTGGTGGACAGCTGGACACATGGCTGTATGGATAAATGGCTGGACTGGCCACAGATAAGTCACTGACGGATGAATGTTTTCGTAGAAGGACATGGAAGAAACATACGGATAAGAGGAAGACTTGGTGAATTGCTCAAAGGATTTATAGATTGTATATGTGTGTGTATGTGTATATATGTGTATACATGTATATATATATATATACACACACACATATATATATATATAGTGAGAGAGAGAGGGGGGGAGAGAGAAGTGACTGGCAGATTGGTAGCGAGTGAGTCATTAGTGGAAAGAGACGCGGAGACGAAGGAGACCCAGAAACAGTGAGGACGAAGAAAGCCTAAAATATACAAAAGAGTAAAACACACAAACCATTGTTTAGATTTAATGGCAGGTTGTTCCAGCCACAAAAAGCACTGTAAAAATGAAACATTTTGCATGTCGACAGTTCAACTAATTGAACCAGACACGACTACTATTCTGTCTAAAGGGCTGGTGACTGACTTCTTTAAACAAAACTCCATTATAATGATGAACTGAGTCCACAATTTGACCGAAAGCTCAACTTTGAAGCTTTGACCAGTGGCTATCAAAAGGCGTGTGAAATATGAACCTCTTTGTAGCCATCCTTGTACCCTATTTGCTGTGTTTAATGAAATGTGCAGGTGAATTATCCCAGGGTAGTTTACCTTTGGCTTGAGGTATTAAAAGGAATCCCTGACTGGTTGATGTGCACGTTTTGGGGAAACTTGTAAGGATGTTTTAGAAAGGCGGATGGTCTTTCGGTCAACTTCTGGTCTTTTAACTGTTTACAGACAGGTTAAATATCTTATTGTGGTGATAAACGTCTACGCTTTGTCTGTGAAGTATGTGATTAGAGTCATTGGCGGATTGGTAGATAGCTGGATGGATTCATAAATGGGTGAAAGGATTCAAAGTTGGATACATAGGGGAATGGATGGATAGATGAGTATATGCTTGGATGATGGGGGAGGGATAGCTGGATAGATGGGTGAATGGATAGCTGGGTAAATTGCTAGATACGTAGATGGGTGGTTGTATGGTTAGGTGAGCAAAAAGGGGGATGGGGTGCATGTATAAAAATAAGGGTAAATACACAAACCCATATATGAAATGATAAATGACTAAGTAGATGGAGTGGTGAGAAAATGAATAAAAACATCAACTGCATTGATGTATAGACACAGGGATGTTAAGATAGGTTTATGGAAAGAAGAGAGGGTTTGTTTCTGAAGGAGTAAGTAGATTGACTGACAGATAAACAGACAGACGGACGAAAGGACGGACAGAGGGACAGACATACAGACAGATTATTATATTAAAATAAAATATTTCCCATTTTCTTTCAGTTTAAGGTGGTGAGAAATAACATGTTGACTGTTAATGCCACTTCAGTGCAGCAATAACCCAGCCACAGTGTCTCCAACAGCCAGGCAGTGTCTCCAACAGTCAGACAGTGTCTC